AAGAAAATCTTTATCCGACTGTTATAGGAGCGAGGCAGCGCCCAAACTACTACTACTACTACTACTACTACTACCACAACTACTACTACTACTACTACTACTACTACTACTACTACTACTACTTCCACTACTACTACTACTACTACTACTACTAGTAGCAGGTAACGGTCGCGTTTATGACGGTGTGATTTTCTCCACTTCACCCTACTGAAACTGGGGTTGCGCGCGATTTTTGAACAAAGTCCTACTGGAACTTTTCTGTTTGATCAACTTGCCCAGCATTTTTGGTCTGAGTTGTTTGTACGTTTTATGGTGCGTTTGGGCCCATTTTGGATTTTTTTGTGTGGGAAACACATTTTTCAAGTTGCCTTCCCGGTGGCCTTCTCTCATTATTCATCGCCCCATTACTCCAAGGTTCGCCCCATTTTCCAAGGTTCGCCTCAGTAGTTCAAGGGTGTGAGGAGTTCTGATTCAATTTTATTATCGCCCCAATAGTCCAAGGTTCGCCCCGTTAGTCCAAGGGTGTGAGGAGTTCTGATTTGATTTTATCATCGCCCCATTGGTCCAAGGTTCGCCCCAGCAGTCCAAGGGTGTGATGAGTTCTCATTTAATTTCTCATCGCCCCATTAGTCCAAGGTTCGCCCCATTTGTCCAGGGGTGTGAGGAGTTCTGATTTGATTTTATACTCTGTGGTCGCATTCTCCACATGCCGCGCAATGGTGCCGCTGCTTGCCACCATTGCGACGTTCTCGTTTCATCTCTGACTCTGCTTGGAGCCAATATCAACGATGCAGACATTTGCGTTTCCGCATATTGAAACACGTTTAACATGAAAGGCCCCAAAAAGCTCCAGGGCAACTGCGCCCATCTGAAACCCGGGAGTGCGGGAAATTACAGCATTTGGGGTATTTCGATGCCACGAAATGTACCGTCACGAACGCAACCGGAGCAATCCATTATTATTATTACTACTACTACTACTACAACGCACGCGTCGGATGTCTGACGGGGGTTTTTTTGAGTTCAGGGAAGCCGTTCGGAACAATCGGAAATGCAGAAAATGTTGTCCCTGGCAGTGAATTTGGGACTTCGGTCAGCAGTTGGTCGCCGCAAAGTTAGTAATTTTCAGGTCTGGCATGTCAGGGTCCTTGTGAATGGACGGAACAGCTTTGCGGGCATATTTTCCAGAGAGGTCGGTGATTGACATTTGTTTTTAAATTGAGATCCACACTGCAGAGGTGCTTGGACGCTTGAGATACCTCTGTTAAAACGCATGAGCCGCAGGAGTTTTGTTCAGGATGCCTCGTTCTTTAGTGCCAGGGCGTGGCCATGGCAAGCAACTGCACCAGTGCTCACTTTGCAACTGAGATTGGGTGCCAGCAAGCACCTTCCAAACCACTCCACGCTTGCTACTGTTCTTATGGCCAGAGATTACCTTATTGCTTCTATTCTTATGCGTATTACTCGGTAGATGTTTCTGTGGCTATGCTTCTCCATATGCAGAAAAGGGATGCAGAAATCACATGGATGTTAACATTTTGCTACTCTGTATGCAAAATGGATGCAGTATTCACATGAACGTTAACATTTTGCTTTTCCGCATGCAGAAATGGATGCAATAATCACATGCATGTTGACATTTTGCTTCTCCATATGCAAAAAATGGATGCAGTAATCACATGATTGTTATCATGTTGCTTTTCCGTATGCAAAAAATGGTTGCAGTAATCACATGAATGTTAACAAGTCAAGACACGAAATCGCGAAAAATGTATGAAGTTAGTGAATTCCCACAGCGAGAGTGCAAAAATGCATCAAAATCAACAAATTCCCATAGCGAAACGCGAAAAACGCGTGTGGTGCCAAAATAGGCGTTTTGCGGCGGGCAACGTCTTGAAGCAAATCTGCAACGTTGCAGAATTGCCACAGCGAAAATACCGTTTGAGCTCGACAAATGCTCAAAAACCCCACCGTCGCATGTCCGACGTGTGGGTACTAGTACTACTCCAACTATTACTACTACTATTACTACTACTACTACTACTACTTCTTCTGCTATTACTACTACTGGACAATTACCATTGTGCTTACTCCCACTGCTACGACTTTGTTGTACTGGAGGTGCCGAAGCTAGTCTTGAAGCCGGGCTCCACGGTCGCTCTGCACTGCAGCAGCCGCAACCGCTTTGTGCGCTACTCGGCAGAGTGTATCTCTAGCATGTGTATATAGAGGTATACGACAGATAATATCGTACATGCATGGTATATCAAGTAAGTATTTTTCATATTCTCCGTTTACCGTGTGGGACACTATCTAGAAAAATTGCTCTGCACTGTTTGGCCCACAGCCATAAACCTTAAACACCACATGGAACCTCAAACCTTTGAGCCCTAAACCCCTAAACCCTCAGCCCATAAACTCCTAAATTCCTAAACCCCTAAATCCCAAACCTGTACAGGGTAGGGGGGGGCTGCCGGAGTTCCGCTTGGACCTTTGATGCACGTTCCCCTGGTGCAAGCAAGCCCTTCAACCTCGCACACGAGCTTAGAGGTTTGCAATTTGAAAAGACAAGACCTGGACCGCCCCATGTAATTCCCTTTTGGTATTGTCCTAACCAAAAAACAATATCAAACCCCAAACAAAGCGGCCCAGGTAGGGTAGATAGGGTTGAGCGGTTTAGGATTCAGGGATTAAGGCTTGAGGTTGCATTATGTGAGTGTCATCCAGGGGCTGCTGTAGGGGCTTTCACTGTGATTACAATACTGGATGTTTTGGAAGGTTCATAAAAAGTTTTTGCAGGGCTTGTAAAGGGTCCTCAGACTCAATTTACAAGAGCGAGTCCCTGTTAAGCAGATTCTTCATGTAAGTACAAGGAAATCCTGGGCACTTGCAACCTTACGTATAGGGGCAGCTTACTAGCTAAGGGGCCCTGTCTCGTAGGACCCGCGAACTACACAGCATACTCGAGGAGCTGCCTGAACAGCGACCTGAGAGATGGAGGTGGATCTAAAATTAGACTCCTTGGGGGTCCCCTGTATTCTGAGGAGTATACAATACTAGAGGCCCAAAGGGATTTCAATTTAGATCCACCCCTGAATGTCACGCCAGAGTCGCTAGTGCTTGAAGGCCAGAACCCCAAAGCCCAACGAATGTCAAAACCCTATACCTGAACCCTCAAGCATGGAAAGCCCAATCACTCGTGTGATTAAAAGGGCCCATAAGGCCCAACAATACAGAGCATGATTAACAGTTTCTGCGCAAGCTCATCTTGAGGGGGGTGTACTAACTTATTGTCCGCTTTTGGGGGTCCATACTGTAGTATTACTCCATCTACGTACAGGGAATACCCATGAAGGGACCATACTCCAGAGCAGCCCCCAAACAGTTTGAGGTATGAACAGCGATCTTAAAGTTGATGGGACTCATCGGGACTTCGACGATTTGCCTGTTGACTGGAGCTGGGAGCGATTCACGGTGGCCCAGTTCTGAACAGCAGAGACTCAATAGGGTAGCGTAGCAGGTTAGGTGTACAGTCATATACCACTAGGCCTATCTGCTTTTGGGGTCCCGGGGTGGCCGGCGGCAACACGTCGGGAATTGTAGGTTTTGCTGGCTTGATGTGGAAACGTTTAGGACCGCATGGTACAGCAACACACACTCGACTCCTGAGACATTGCATTCTACCATGCAGTGCTGTACTGACCTGTATTATTCGAAGCTCTACTGAGGAGGATTGAGGAATCTGCACGGCTGCTGATTCTACTCAAGCCACTTGTACTCCTCTCCCACTCCCGCTCCTGCTACTACTACTACTACTACCTGCTTCTACTCCCACTGCCACTACCTCAGCCGAGGTGGTGGACGGCGGCAGCGGCCAAATTGCGCTTCACAACGCTAAGTGGAACCGCTTCGTCGTCATGGACGCAGACGGACTGAGGGCCAGCAGCCAACCTCAAACTGGACTTGTCATTGCTGTGAGAGGTTTTTATGCACATGTATACCGTGTACTAGAGCCTCCTGCAGTTGTATGTTACAATGTCTAGAGCAAAGACATTCTGAAATCTAGAGCATACGCAATGTTTCTGAAACTGTTAAAACACCCGGAACAAAAAACTTCAAAATGTAAAAAACTGCGTACTGCTTACAACTTTGAGAGGTAAAAAAGAGAAAGCGCCGAGGCAGCGGCAAGGCCGCCAGCGAGCTGCCAAAGGAGTGGACATGGGAGCGCTTCACGGCACCTTCGGCCTACAATTAGCGTAACATATTACGATTCTAGTTAGATGATCCCCTGCAATGCCAACCGTCAGCCCTCCATGGGGGCGACTTCTCATTGTACCTCATACAATCCTTAAGTCTTACCTTCTCAAGGCTCAACTGGTAGCCTAAATACAGCAAGGAAGACCTCCTTATGCAAACCTTGAAGTCTTGCCTTTTAAACGCTCAACTGGTAGCCTGGGTACCGTAAGGAAGATGTTGCCCTACCCTACACAAACCTCAAGCTTTAAGCTTTGAATCTGAAGCTGTCGGAGCCGAAGCCAGGTGGTCGATGCTGGGAACGGAGAGATCGCACTGCACAACGCCGCCCACAACCGCTTCATCGACATGTCACCAGAGGCTTCTTTGCGGCATAGAATGCCCTGAATTCAGATATTGTCTTCTAGGGACTTTATAGGGGGTTCTAATAGGGTCGTAATAAGGGGGCTTCAATAGGGGGTTTTCTTTACTTTTAGGGGATACGTGCAAAAAGACGGTGTAGGGAAGGACTTCTTTTCGGCTCATGTTGGACTGGACGACCCGGAATGCCCGCTGTACTTGCGAAACCAAATCGACAAGCTGAAGTTAATTCTTGAAGCTGGCTTCAGGAAATCATGGTTTGAACCCTTTGTAGAAAATAAACCAACTGCTCATGAATTTGTTTTAGATGTATTTATGAAAATCATTTCAGGAGTTCAAGGAGTTGTGTATTTGTTGTGACACTATGGATCCCGTTTCTTGGAAAATATAATCGAAAACTGTTGACTTAGAAGTAGACTATAAAACGCTCCAAGGCCTGCATCCCACGCTTTTAGCACGCTTAGAAATTGTTTTGTCCTCCCTCCCCTAAAGCCTTAAAGACATAATAAACCTTATACCCTAGATTCCCACCCGGGCCTGCTTAGGCCGTACCCATGTTTCTTTAGGGTGCTTGGACCCAACAGCGATTCGCATCATAGCGTAATGGTTTCATTTCATTAAATAAACGTTACATGAATGAAATAATGAGCTCACGCTATACACACAACCTCCTATCCAAAAACAGACTACTCTTCTGGCATAAGTGTATTTGGAGCTAATGTTGACCTTGTAATGTTAACAGGAGCCTTTAGATTCTAAATCCCCATGGCCTGTACCACGAAGCTTTTATTGGGCTATGGATCCTGTCTCTTGGAATATGTATATATATATGTGTGTGTAAATGCAGATAAGCTAGTAGAAAAACGCAGGCCCCATGACAAACCACTCTCGGCTTTTTTGTTGTGAAATTTGAAAAGTGTCCGCTTGCTAACTACGCTGCAATCAAAGACTAGCCTGACTCCACACGCTTAGGCTCTTCCATCATATAATAACTCAAACCTTGACCTTAAGCCCTTAGATTTAGAACAATTTCAGGTAGTTGGTACCCCATATACTCCATCTAGTAGAACCCTTTAGAAAGCACCTCCACCTGGGAAATCCTGGACATCCCCTCAGGGCGATGTGAAGTGCAGTGCCCCTGCAGATGTTCAGGACTGGGTTGGGGGAAGGAATGTTGCTTTTTATGTGGGGTTGGGATGTCAGTGTCTCTTAAGGGTTACAGTATATGTTTTCGTACATAGAAAGGTTAAAACAGAATGTGTTGTGATTATGCTTGTCTAGTATATAGTATACAATTTATAATACAGTTTACAGTGTAGCAGCAAACAGAACATATACATAGGGCTTGACCTACATACGTCCTTCTGCGGAAGTCACGGAGCGTATTGTCTTAGAAATTGTGATTGTGAAAGCTCGCAATTGGATCAACTGCCAAGTAACCTAGGACCCCAAATACTTGCTTGCCATATAGTCCTAATATTGTATACCACACAACCCTATTCTAGTCACTTAGGCCCCTATGGTATCTGGATGTAAGTCTGGGTTGTAGTTTGCTCAGCATTGCAGTACAACTCAGTGAGTTTGGTCGGTTGATCGTGGACTACAGAACACTGCGGCATGCCACGGTGTATGCAACACACCCCGAAAAGACCCAAAGCCCCGCATACCTTGAGTCCCTAAAGCCTTAAACCCCCAACTCCGCACCCTGAACCCCTAAACCTCTGAAAGACCGAAACAACAATTTAAACACCTTCAAAAAGTTGCTTAACATTCTAAAGCCGCTAAAGGCCCTCTGAAGCCCTAAACCCCGCTCAGAACCTGGCAGCTGGGCCCGGGATGCGGTTCCGCGTCTTTGAGGCGGCCCATTCTGGTGATGGGTGGGTTTGCGAGCGTGGTTTACAGGGGTTATGACATGTCCAGAGTGAGTGAGTGAGTGACTGACTGAGTGAGTGAGTGAGGATTGACCAGCACTTACGGTGCGGCCTGCCTCCCACATCCCTCTCAGCATCTCAGGGGGTCTCCGCCAGCGTCATCGCCCCCCTCCGCCACAGAGTTCAAGTGGGGGATTGCTAGCAAATGCAAACAAGAGGCCGTGCGTTGCTTGTGTACAATAAATCCACTACCATCCAATGATTGAATAGTTCAGGTGGGACATGTGAACCTTTTGCGCAGCCCAATGCAGGTGGCAACAGTCACACACAGAGAGCTCAACAACACCGACGATCGACGTACAATGCACAACCAACATACCAACTCAATAGGCCAAGTGCAAAGGCACATTGGCCCCAGTAGCATCAACAGGCCAAGGGCAGAGGCACATTCGGCCAAAAACCACCAACGACCCATGTACCAGGCACAACCAACATTCCATATCAATAAGCCACACGCAGAGGCACATTGGGCCCAACAACGCCCACACCTGAGTAGCAAGCACAACCAGCATATCATATTGATAGGCCGAGTGCAGAGGCACTCTGGGTACATGACACCAATGACACATGTACCAAGCACCAACATACGAACTCAACAGGCCAACCGCGCAGGCCATATGGCCTAAAGCACACACGACCAATGTACCAAGCCTAGCCAACATACGGCATCAACGGGCCAAACGCAGAGGCACAGTGGGCTCAAAATCACGAACGGCCGTTGTAGCAAGCACAACCCAAGTGCCCTATTAGTGGACCAACTGCGGAGGACCTTGGGCTCGACAACACCAACGACCTCAAACGTAGAAGCACAACCAACACATGGTGTGAACAAGCCGAGCGCGGAGGCACAGTGGGCTCAACAATACGAATGACCAATGTAGCAAGCGCAACCGACATGACGTGTCAATACACCAATTGCAGAAGCACATTTGGCCAATAACACCCGCGACCAATGTACCAACCACAACCAACATACAGTATTAATAGGCAAAGTGCGGACGTACATTGAACCCAACAAAGCAATCGACCAATGCACAAGCAATACCAACATACCGCAATCAATAGGCAAAGTGAAGAGGTATGGGGACCGGTAACGCATGGCCAATGTAGCGCTGACAACCATGCCAATGCGCCAAGCGAAGAGGCACATTGGGCCCACCAAGGCCAACAACCAACGAAATGAGCACAACATGCTAACCCAATAGACCAAGTGCAGAGGCACATTGGGCTCCATAACGCCAGGGACCAATGCTCAAACACGACATAGTGTATAAGCCATTGTGCGCGGCCAGTGCTGAGGGAGCACCGCTCCAAGCACAGAGGGCACGCGCCACCCCTACGCAAACACCATGTGCCAAGCGCAGAAGGGGGCACCGCTCCAGCACCGAGGGCAACATGGGACGTCAAACGAAGGTTCCTCGAGCACCGCTGTCCAGGTGGCGGCAATCACCCACAGAAGGCCCAATAACGTCAATGACCAATGTCACAAGCAAAAACCAACATGCCGTATTGATAGGTCAAGTAAAGAGGTACTAAGCCAATGACCAATGTACAAGGACAACCAACATGTCCACTCAACAAGCCAAGTGAAGAGGTACCTTGGGCCCAACAACACCGACGATCCACGTACAAAGCACAACCAACATACCCATTCAATAGGCCAAGTGCAAAGGCACCTTGGGCCATTGGGTCCAACAATGCCAACAATCAACGCAACAAGCACAACCAGCATACCACATCATGAGGGGGCATGCTGAGACATGCGCAAAAGTACTTGGAGAATGTGCCAGCCATCCCCGAAGCTGCTCGAGGCTAGCCGCAGCAGATGCCAAGAATGTGTTTGCATGCGAAGTTGGTCACGTGGAGGAATTTCCATGCTTCAGCACACGCCAACTAGGTTGCCACCCCAAACCATGCACCAAGCATACCGCAACATTGTGGATTTCGCCTGTCGCACTCCAATCAAGGCCGATCACACCACGTTTCTCAAACATGCCAGCCTGTGACTGGCTTGTGGAACTTCAATTTCCTGCAGGTAGTTGAATTGCCCTTGGCAACACACGCCCACAGGCCCAAGCGTGTGACCAGGGCGCAAAGAGAGCATGCAAGACTCCAGCGCTCAGGTCGAGCACGAATATATCAAACGCTGGCAGGTACGCAAGTCCGGACATGTGATGGATGACAAGGATGGCAGCTACCCAAAGTCAATAATGCGTGCAGAGCGCGCGATTTGGTACTTTCGCCCGAGTGGAAGGGGCAAGAGCGGGGTGGGGGGTGCTCGTCCGGAGAAAGACCATCCCTTAGTACCGCCCCCGGGGTCCACACCCAGCCCAAACAAGCCCAAGCCCCCAAACGTCCACTAGGCCCGGGGGATTACATGTCCAGAGAGCTGGAAACCCCCTTTAATTGAGGACGGTGCCTGCAAAAGCTTAGATTCCTAAGTAGGAACCTGATTAAGAAACTGTTGCTTTTCAATTGAGTTCCGCATGAAGCCTTTAGTATATTGGGGATTCAGGGGATTCAAAAACAGATGTTCTTGATCAATGTTTTATTAGTTTGGTATTTAGGGCATCTTCCTTTTATTGAGGGGGCGTGGGGGCTTCCAGGCAAAAAATGGTGCGACAAGGAACCAAGAGGTTTCATCGGTGTCTAGATTATGATCCCTTTTTCAAAGTCCGCAGTAGCAGTATACCTTTTCAAATAGCGGAACACCAAAAGGGCCCATGATTTTCTAGGCATATCAGATAGCACATCTCAGCGCCAGGGCCAGTAAACTGAATAATGTAGGAGCCTAAATAATTGACAACAGCTTCCCCTTGTTAGTCTCTATATAGTGCAGTATGCGCCAAAACCTTGTTCTAATGAACTTAGGCCCCTATATTAGGCCGGGCCTTTGGGGGTGAGAGTTTTAAGCTTTTGAGCCCCTTACTAACTTGTTGTCTCAGGGTTTACGGTCTAGAGTCTAGGGTTGAAGGTGCATTCTTTCTGACCTACCATACAGATCCAAATCAGGGCTTACACGCCTCACTAAACGGTTATCTGAATTTCAGGATCGATATGTGGGCGTTATACTACAAGCTACGACCAAACTTTTTAAGTAAGGAATATATTTATGTTGCAACAAGGACCCAAAGACGGACGCCCTCAACCCTAACCTTCTACCCAAACCCTATTTTAACAACAAACCCCTATTTCTGGATTCGTTTTGGGGTACTTCACTCCCAAATTTTGGTTCAAGCGGTCAGCCTGGACCGACCCAGGGTTGTCCTCATGGTCCCCTTTTGGGTCCCAAAGGTCGAGGGTGCCATATGTTAAATGTTATGTAGGGTTCCCCAAAAAGATCATCATTTTGACAATTACAAATATAGACATCTATTAGTCAACCTCCTTGAAAAGGGCTCCTATTCAGGTATATTTCGGTGTAGGGGCCTATGTGTTATTTGGACAAGACAAGGGCCCGACTTCTTTATCAGCCTCTATCAGCCTGCGAGGGCTTTAGGGTTTCTGGCTTTTGGGGTTGTGGGTGCCCGGCGTCACGTTTTGCTGCAGGTGACTCCCTACCTGAAGCCGGGCTCGGTCGTGGCCTTGCACAACGCCGCTCACAACCGTTTCCTCCGCCCCTCGGAGGAACCTCGAAAACTTTCAAACCTGACCCAAAATCCTGACCCCAACCTCTGAAGTGGCTCCGTGCATCTTCGCACAGGGGTTGTGTTTGTGTGAGGGACTTGAAGGCTGGCGTGTTGTTGAGAACTAAGGGCTTTGGGTTTAGGATTTAGGGCTGTTCTACAGGATAGTCCCTTTTGGGGATACTCTATATTCGAAGGAGTACACTGTTTATAAGGTCCCAAAAGATCCCCTGATGCAGAATAATCCCCATGCATTACACCGTCTAGCATACTCTATAGCATACTTGATGCGCTGTAGTAGGGTTGTAAATTTGCCCGACTTTCTGAGCTACTCTGTGGAGTGAGCCAAGTTCCACTTCGTGAGCAGCTCTGCAAATGATGTACACTTAGTTGGTACTGCTCGTAAAGTATGTATAGTTGCAGTACAGATGCAGCTCGCTGTACTTCGACTCATTGGAAAGCGCCCTGAGCCAAGCCTAGCAGATACAAAAGCACATATTGTACGATCCACAGCGGGTCCCCAATAAACCTTCAGCCCTAAAAATCAGCATTTAGTTGCCCAGCAAGGCATGAACCATGAGTCCGACGTGGACCGAAGTGACAAGAAGCTGGGCACTGGTTAGCAATGCCTAGCAGGTTTGCTTGCGTTTTTGAGGAAACCCTCGTCAATTAATCCTTTTCAATAGGGGTTCCAAAATTTAACCTAGCGCCACCAAACCTTAAGACCCTGAACCGTAAGACTGTAAACCCCGTTTCTCAAAGGGTCCCACAGTCCAAACAAAAACCTTAAACCCAAAACCCGAAGGCCTACACCCCAAGCCCAGAGCCCCCCCCGCCGAAAAGCAGCAATAACCCTGCTTTTCCAAGGGGTTGTCAAAAGAAGAATGAGTAGACCTCTGGTGTAGAAGCCTGTCTCATATTTCGACCGCCCTGATCCCCAAGACCTAAACCCCTAAAACTTTAAAAGCCCAGGAAGGAAGCGAAGATGCTTCCTGAGCACTATTCATGGGAGCGCTTCATGGCCCCCTGGCCTCAACTTGTGGGAAGGGATGTGCTTGATTTGTTAAGGAAATGTTTTTTGAAGCGTTTGAAATGTTGCGGCTTTTCCTGTTGGGCTTTAGCAAAAGATTTTCGTTTGTTTCAAGGGTGTTCAGCTTTTTGTTGGTGTCGTGTTTTTGAAAACAGCTTTGTCGTATGTTTTGTTGTTTAGGAGTTCTTCGATTTGGGCCTTAGGTCAGGGTTTGGGTTTAGGGTCTTGGCAATTCGCTTTTCCTTTGGTAGGGTTTTGTTACATATAGAG